AGAGGATTAAGTGTAGATTTCTTCCTCTCCGAGTGTCGAGATGATCACTGTAGTGTGGGTGGCTTCGATACTCGTCTTTCAATACGAAGACGCTTTCCATCCACTTTTCCCCTAAAACCTCGGCCCCGTACCGAGTACATTTTCAAACCTCGGTCCCGTACCGAGTACATTTTCAAACCTCGATCCCGTACCAAGTACATTTTCAAATGTCGGTCCCATATCGAGTGCACTTTTCATAAATAAATCGATTTCTCTTTGTATCGAACTAAAGAGAGAGGATTGAGTGTAGACTTCTTCCTCTCCGAGTATCAGGATATTCACTGTTGTGTGGGTGGTCTCGATACTCGTATTTCGATACGAAGACGCAACTTTATGCATCACCTATCTCTTTCCACACCTCTTCCTACAACTTCCTTTCGCAACCTTTCTCACCTAAAACCTCGGCCCTGTACCGAGTGCTTTTTCAAACTCTTTTCTTAACAAAAATATGAATGGTCGTGGAGTGGTTAGGCGTAGGCCTTCTCCTATCCCGAGTGCTGACGTTTACCGTAGGGTTCTCTGTCGCAAAGCACTTACCATTCAAAACCAAAAACATCTTTAATAAGAGAACGAAGTTCTCTTTGTGTTGAATTAAAGAGAGGATTGAGTGTAGTCTCCTTCCTCTCTGAGTGTCAGGATACTCACTGTAGCGTGTGTGGTCTTGATACTCGTCTTTCAATACGAAGACGCTATGTTCGCCACACCTTTTTATAACAAAAACTTTGAGATAAAGAATTGGGTACTACCCGCAAGGGGTTACTATCCGAGGACTTATCTCGCCCCTAAAAACAATCCTACAAATCAAACGTGACTTCTTGCCTCGCATGGCGAAAATCAACCTTTCAAAAAGGATATGTTATGTTCGTTCTACCGCAAACAGGTAACGCTTAAGTCTCCTCACATGTGAGCAGCAATACACCTAAACTGCTAGAATGCGTACGATAGCATCGTCTACCAGAACTCACCCGCAAACCGTAGGCCGAACTACGGCTGCTCTAATTCTTTACTTCTTCAAGTAAAGATACGTAGGCACAAGGGCCACAATCCTTTCCGAGCACATTCCCCCTATATTCGTAGTCCTCAAACTACGTGGACTCTAACTTTCTCATATTTGTTGAGAATACGTAGGCCTAGGACCGCGAGGTCCTACCGAGTCTGTTCTTTCTCTCTTCTTCCCTCGTTACCTCTCCTTTCACTTGTTTCTAACCCTTCTTTTACCCCGTGGAACACTTTTTATAGCATAATATTTAAGCAAATAAATTCACACGTCGACAAGGAAATGGTTCCCATCGAGTACGATAGATAGGAGGGGTGCTAATACCTTCCCCTCGCATAACCGACTTCTGAACCCGTTCTTGGTCGCGAGACCATCTTATCCATTTCTTTCTTAAGGTTTTCTCGATATTTTCCTTTCCCCTCATGGGATAAATAAAGTTCGGTGGCGACTCTTCTGTCTATCTTTTTCGCCTCCCCGTCATTGCACGATGCATTTTTCGAGTAGCGACACTCATGTGTTTCCTCCACGTTCTCCACGTGTTCACCCACGCGGGGACACGTCATCATACAACTACCCACCTTCGAAAGAGTTGGTCAGCCCACCTTCCGAAGATCACGGGGCAGTTGATCTAGGGCGAAGACCACGTGCGGATCTTCACTACGCCACGTAAGCCCTGACAGTTACTTGGGTTGGGCCTGACAGTCTGACCCAATGCAAGTAACCATTGGCCCTGCGCTGGGGTCTCTCTATAAATATCTTATTTCACTAGAGGGTCAGGTATTCTATTCTCTACACCTACTTCTATGTATTTGCCTTACAGATACACCCCCTCCTTCTCCCTACCTCCGGTGAAAGCTACAATACAACGACGCGTGGCAGGCGATTGATCCTTTCTGACCAGGCCAGATAAAACATGTATGTACAAAACAACAATGTATGCAACCAAATTTCTACATTTAATCAACTTAGCAAAACCAAGTATGATACAAGAGTTAATCAAAATGCCTCAAGAATTCATCAAGATAAAATGCATCACAAATGCCTTAGATACACATCAAGAACTCATGGAAGTTAACACCAAGAAATCTTATCAAAAATCAATAATGTAGCTAAACAAAATTAATCCAAGAAAGTCATGAAAATTAAATCCAAACATAGCATGAAAAATATTCCACACAAGTAATTAATAAGATTAGTCAAGGATTCTATAGCAAGAAAACCAATTAAAAGTCCAACCAAAGTTCAAACAATTTGTTCTACCAAAAATTAACTACATGGTTCAATTAAAATTCAACTAAAACTCCATTAAAATTCAATTAAGAAACTCCATTAAAATTTAACCAAGAAAATACTTTGAATTCTAACTAATTCAATTAAAACATTTTGATCAATTTTAATGAAGATTAATAAAATAAACAATTAGCAAAAAGTTTAATCAACTATTAGTAAAAATTTTAACAATTATATCAATTAAAACTTAACAAGAAAATTTAATCAAAAACTTACAAAAATTATCTAATTAACAATTAACAAAAATTCTAATCAAATTAATCAAAAATCTAATATCAAAATAAAATTACCAAAGATTTAATTAAACAAAACCTAATTAATCAAACCAAAATTATTAAAATAGAAATCAACATTAAAATTAGCACCAAGTTAAGAACAAAAATTTTAAAAACAAAAATATAATCAAAATATTAAACTCAAAATTAGGATTAAAATTCAATTAAGATTTCACCAAAGACTAACATCGAAATTAAAATCAAAATTTTAATCAAAATTAAATTCAAGATAAATTCCTAAACAAAAATAATATCAAAATAATCCAAAATCTAATTATCTAAAACCAAATTATCCAAACTGAAATTATCAAAATAATAATCAAAGCTCAAATTATCAAAATCTAATTAAAATTAACATCAAGATCTAATTAATATTAAAATCAAAATTAAAATGAAACTTAATTCAAGATTACCTAACAAAAATTAACTTCTAATTAAAAGATAGAATCTAATTAAACAAATAAAAAAATTAACAAGAGGGGTGCTGCAGGGATCATAGAGATTGATAATAAGAAAAAGAAAAGTGTAAGGAGCAACATGGGCCTCATGGCCCATTAACAACAACTTGGCATTGCCTTCAATACAACATCATGTTCACTAAGCCAAAGAAATTGATAATGTATTGAAGGCAATGCCAAGTTGTTGGGTTAATAGGCCATGAGGCCCATGTTGCTCCTTACACTTTTCTTTGGAAGCTTTACCCTATACCCCTGCACTTGTACCCATACCCCTACATTTTTAAAAAAATACCCATTTTATCCTCATATATTTTAATATTTTATTATTTTTATTTTCATTTTTTTATAATTTTTAGACTTTGAGGAATAGACCCCCAATCAATCGGAACACTCTGAGAATCGCAATGGATACGCATATTTTTTCATACCGGAACACTTTAATAAAGACATCCGGTATTGGGATTTTCGTGTGATTACCGGAACACTTGGAACAAGTCTTCCGGTTTGAAATTTTGACTACCGGAACTCTTGTAACAAGTCTTCCGGTTTATTTTTTGACTACCGGAACACTTGTTGTAAGTCCTCCGGTATGTAGTTCGGCTACCGGAACTCTTTCTATAAGTGTTCCGATATGTATTGGCCTTTTTTTTTTGAATTTTTTTTTAAAAAAATTTTTAAAATTTTTTTTTTTTACGTATGTATGTAATTTCAGAAGTTTCTTTACAAATATGCGATAAAGATCAAATATGGGTAGATACGTCTGATGTTTTTTCAACTACTCAAAAATTTAATACACGAGAAGAGGTAATAAGATGGATTAAAGAGATTGGAATCCGAAATAAAGTTACGGTTATCATCACTCGTTCAGATATTAAAACAGGTAAGAGAGGAAGAAGTAACAAATTAATATTTGGATGTGATAAAGGAGGAAAACACAGAGATATTGTTAGTGGAACTCAGAGTGCGACGAAAAAATGTGAATGTCCATTTAGAATCAGATCAATTCCAGCGGCTGATGGATCTGGATGAAAAATTGATGTAAAATGTGGAGTTCATAACCATGATTTACCTGATAGATTAGAAGGTCACGCATTTGTCGGTAGGTTGACAGCGGATCAGAAGCAACATGTTATTGATTTGACAAAGAGAAAGGTTCCACCTAGACATATACTGCTTTCATTGCAAGAGCAAGATCCAGATAATGTCACTCGGATCACGCAAATATACAAACAGAAGAGTACGATAGTAAAAAATATAAGAGGTTCTAGAAGTGAGATACAACATTTATTTAAGCTTATTGAGGAAGCAGGTTATGTTTATTGGAGTAGAAAAAGAGATGACTCTGAAGTTATTAGAGATATCTTTTGGGCTCATCCAGATTCAGTTAAGTTGTTGAATATTTTTCCTACTGTGCTAGTTATGGACAGCACTTATAAGACAAACAAATATAGGCAACCTTTGTTTGAAATTGTTGGAATGATATCAACCGAGTTGACTTTTGCTGTCGCATTTGCCTATATTGAGTCTGAGCAAACTGAGAATTTTTGTTGGGTGCTAGATAAGCTTAAACAATTGTTTGTGAAAAAGGAGTTGTGTCCACAAGTGATTTTGACAGATAGAGATCTTGCTTTGATGAAAGCCATTGAAATTGTGTTTCCAAGGTCGATCAATATGCTATGTCGATATCATATTAACAAGAATGTTGGTGCAAAACGGAAACAATATGTGGCTAGTGACATGCAAAAGAAAATTGACGAATTATGGACGGAGGTTGTATGGGCTAGTGATGAGGTTGAGTATGATCAAATGTTGAACCAACTTGAGCAGGCGTGTGTTGATTGTAATGAATTTATTGATTATATGAAGGACACATGGTTGACACCACATAGACAAAGATTTGTTAAAGCATGGATTAATCGATTGCTACATTTTGGTAACACCATGACTAATCGGTATGTATTTGTTTTTAGTATTTCTAAATTGTATTTTTTTTTAATTTTTTTAAAATATATTTAATATGTATTAATTTTAGGGTCGAGTCTGCTCATTGGAAGTTAAAGCAAATGTTGGAGAACAGTATTGGTGACATGGTCAAATGTTGGGAGGCTATGAATGACAACTTAAAGTTACAATTGGGTAATATTAGAGCTTCTTTTCAAAAGAGTTTTTATGAAGTTGAGCACGCCCACGTAAGTCCATTTTACAATAATTTACGTGGTTCAGTGTCTCGAGATGCATTGAGACGCATTGCTGAAGAGTTAAAACGAGTTGATTATGTTGGAACTAACAAGGAAAAGTGTCGTTGTACTCTTAGAACAACCTACAGATTACCTTGTGCTTGTGAGTTGACACGATATAGAATTGATGGTATACCGATACCAATAGAGGTTGTACATGTTCATTGGAGAAAACTAAGTATGGAAGTTAATTTGGACGAAGACGTAGACGATGGATCAGAGGTGGATATGAGTAGTGCAATAGATGAGTTATGGAAAAGGTTTAAGTCACTGGATGTTGTTGGAAAAAGGGCATTAAAAAGTAGGGTTTTTGAACTTGCCTTCCCAACAATGACTTCTATGTGTCCACCACCTGAGAAAATAAAAACTAAAGGGGGAGTCAAGAGAAAAGACAAAAAACCAGTAGGATATGATGTTTATAGAGACCCTTCGTATCACGAATATGTTGATCAAGCATCTCAATCTCAACCATCACAAACTTCGAAGAAGACTAAATTATCACAGTCTTCACAAAAGAAATCTCAACCATCACAAGCTTCAAAGAAGATCAAATTATCACAATCTTCACAGTCATCTAAGCAGTTCATCCTTCAGTTTCCTAATCGCATTCGATCCTATATTGATGATGTAGTTAATGTTGTATCAGATGGTAATTGTGGTTTTAGAGTCATTGCTTCATTGCATGGAATTGGTGAAGATGTTTGGGCAATGGTTCGTCGAGACTTGGGTTTGGAAATAATACATAATGAAAGATCAAGTTTGTATGCCAATTTATTCACTGATCAGTTAGCAGTGGTGAGAGAATCTTTGATGATAGAGGAAGTCGTTCCTCAACCACCACATAAATGGTTAACTCTACCAGATATGGGTTACGTGATAACGAATCGTTATAATGTTGTACTTGTCTGTTTAGGAATTGAATGATGGACTTTCTTCCCTATGACAACTTCATTTTCACCGAATGTAGCAATTTACTGCATTGGTTTTGTAAACAGAAATCATTGGGTTCAGGTACTTAGTTGTTTTTAGATAATGCGATTAATCTTAAGTTTTTTTCGTTATTTTTACTTACTATTTTGATTATTCTTTTATTTAGGTAAACATGAAAGAAGGGTTTCCATTGCCACCAGCGACAGTAGATTGGAAGAAGTTTCGTTCTCCAGTAGCAACATCTTGGATGCTAGGATTTGCAGGACGTCTACAACATTGGCAACAACTTACGCCTATATTACCAACGCATTATACATTATAAATTATGTTACTCGTTTTTAATTTCAAAACATGAATAATGACTTATGTTACTCGTTTTTAATTTCAAAACATGAATAATGACTTATGTTACTCATTTTTAATTTCAAAACATGAATTGTGAATCATTCAAAACATACACATAAACCAACTAGATCAAATGAGTCTAAAAGTTAACACATAAACATAAAACAATTAGGTCAAATGAGTCTAAAAGTTAACATATAATTATAAATATAAATACAAGTCACTGTGATCGAGCAATAGATAAAGCTTCGAACAAATCTGCAAACTGTGGGTCATCATCTTCAGCACCAGCCTGCTGAAGATACCGATAAATCAACGAAGACACTCGAGCCCAGCTAGGATCAGATGGTCCTGCTTCATATACAGGAACTGGCATCTTTGCTGGCATCTCTACTGGCGCATCATGATAGGATGGCGGTACCAGACGAGGATGTGAGACACGATAATACCACTCAAGATATCCATCATCTGTCTCATATGGGGTGGTGGCCGGTGCTGTCGGACGAATCACATTCTGAACGCTCTGATGGTAACTAATCCAGTCAACATCAATATCACCAGCCATCGTATGATCTAGAGGTGGATGTGGAATATATTGCCGGTATCCAAACTGACGCATACATCTGTCAGGCAAATATGGAACAACAGTGTCACCCCACCTCAGACACCCCCTATATAGACATAGCTCATCAAACTGACACCATACTCTATGATTCTCGAATGGGCGCCATATGACGTCAGCAGGTGTCAGCTCGTCCAAAATAGGCCGCAAGTCATCCACCTTCAACGAACCTTGCCTATAGGACCATCTCATCGCTCGAGGGAGACCCACATTATTAGCTGGCATCCAGTTCTCTCCTTTTTTTCTAAGCGTTGGAAAATACTCATGAATCCAACACTGTTACAAAATTAATATGGTTACTAAATTTAAAATAATTAATTATAACATAATAAACTAGATAAATAAAATATACTACATTAAAATAAATACCTGTAGGAGAGTCGGATAACCACCAAGCTGCTTACAGCTGAACATAGAAGCATCTCCGAGATATCTGTAAAGAGTAACCAATGCAGCTGCTCCCCAACTGTATCCTGGTAAGCCATCCAAGTCTATAAACAGTGACAGGTATCGTGCCTCGACAAGAGTAAACGACTTGTCCGCGAAAATAGTGGAACCCACTAACATCAGCAAATAAGCTCTAGTGGCATAATCCCATCTAGATGCAGCTCTGTGCTCTACGAACAGATCATATAACCACTCCAGCTTATAGTAGGAACCCTTGCATTCACGGATTTGTTGTTGTACTACTCTCTGTGACACTCCTAAATATTGAACAGCCCACTCAACAGCAAGCGGGGACACGTCATCAGACAACTACCCGGAGACACGTCGCCCACGTTCTCCACGTGTTCACCCACGCGGGGACACGTCATCAGACAACTACCCACCTTCGAAAGAGTTGGTCAGCCCACCTTCCGAAGATCACGGGGCATTTGATCTAGGGCGAAGACCACATTCTGATCTTCACTACGCCACGTAAGCCCTGGCAGTTACTTGGGTTGGGCCTGACAGTCTGACCCAATGCAAGTAACCATTGGCCCTGCGCTGGGGTCTCTCTATAAATATCATATTTCACTAGAGGGTCAGGTATTCTATTCTCTACACCTACTTCTATGTATTTGCCTTACAGATACACCCCCTCCTTCTCCCTACCTCCGGTGAAAGCTACAATACAACGACGCGTGGCAGGCGATTGATCCTTTCTGACCAGGTCAGATAAAACATGTATGTACAAAACAACAATGTATGCAACCAAATTTCTACATTTAATCAACTTAGCAAAACCAAGTATGATACAAGAGTTAATCAAAATGCCTCAAGAATTCATCAAGATAAAATGCATCACAAATGCCTTAGATACACATCAAGAACTCATGGAAGTTAACACCAAGAAATCTTATTAAAAATCAATAATGTAACTAAACAAAATTAATCCAAGAAAGTCATGAAAATTAAATCCAAACATAGCATGAAAAATATTCCACACAAGTAATTAATAAGATTAGTCAAGGATTCTATAGCAAGAAAACCAATTAAAAGTCCAACCAAAGTTCAAACAATTTGTTCTACCAAAAATTAACTACATGGTTCAATTAAAATTCAACTAAAACTCCATTAAAATTCAATTAAGAAACTCCATTAAAATTTAACCAAGAAAATACTTTGAATTCTAACTAATTCAATTAAAACATTTTGATCAATTTTAATGAAGATTAATAAAATAAACAATTAGCAAAAAGTTTAATCAACTATTAGTAAAAATTTTAACAATTATATCAATTAAAACTTAACAAGAAAATTTAATCAAAAACTTACAAAAATTATCTAATTAACAATTAACAAAAATTCTAATCAAATTAATCAAAAATCTAATATCAAAATAAAATTACCAAAGATTTAATTAAACAAAACCTAATTAATCAAACCAAAATTATTAAAATAGAAATCAACATTAAAATTAGCACCAAGTTAAGAACAAAAATTTTAAAAACAAAAATATAATCAAAATATTAAACTCAAAATTAGGATTAAAATTCAATTAAGATTTCACCAAAGACTAGAATCGAAATTAAAATCAAAATTTTAATCAAAATTAAATTCAAGATAAATTCCTAAACAAAAATAATATCAAAATAATCCAAAATCTAATTATCTAAAACCAAATTATCCAAACTGAAATTATCAAAATAATAATCAAAGCTCAAATTATCAAAATCTAATTAAAATTAACATCAAGATCTAATTAATATTAAAATCAAAATTAAAATGAAACTTAATTCAAGATTACCTAACAAAAATTAACTTCAAATTAAAAGATAGAATCTAATTAAACAAATAAAAAAATTAACAAAAGGGGTGCTGCAGGGATCATAGAGATTGATAATAAGAAAAAGAAAAGGGAAGCTTTACCCTATACCCCTGCATTTTTAAAAAAATACCCATTTTATCCTCATATATTTTAATATTTTATTATTTTTATTTTCATTTTTTTATAATTTTTAGACTTTGAGGAATAGACCCCCAATCAACCGGAACACTCTGAGAATCGCAATGGGTACGCATATTTTTTCATACCGGAACACTTTAATAAAGACATCCGGTATTGGGATTTTCGTGTGATCACCGGAACACTTGGAACAAGTCTTCCGATTTGAAATTTTGACTACCGGAACTCTTGTAACAAGTCTTCCGGTTTGTTTTTTGACTACCGGAACACTTGTTGTAAGTCTTCTGGTATGTAGTTTGGCTACCAGAACTCTTTCTATAAGTGTTCCGGTATGTATTGGCCTTTTTTTTTTGAATTTTTTTTTTTGAATTATTTTTAAAAAAAATTTTTTTACGTATGTATGTAATTTCAGAAGTTTCTCTACAAATATGCGATAAAGATCAAATATGGGTAGATACGTCTGATGTTTTTTCAACTACTCAAAAATTTAATACACGAGAAGAGGTAATAAGATGGATTAAAGAGATCGGAATCCAAAATAAAGTTACGGTTATCATCATTCGTTCAGATATTAAAACAGGTAAGAGAGTGTCGCTACTGCGAAAATCGGCGCCGGCTTGACAGGAGAGTCGCCACCGTGCGTTATTTATCCCTCAGAGCGGGAAAGGAAACGCTCGAAGTAAACCTCGCAAAGACGGGAAAAGGTATGGTCATCGCAACCAAAACCTGGATTCGGGAGTCGGTTACGCAAGGGGAAGGTATTAGCACCCCTCACGTCCATCGTACTCGATGGGATCCACGCTTGGTGTTTATAGGTAAAAGGGTGTGTTATCTATCTACGCTACTGGCTGGTCTAAAAAGAAAATAAAAGGACAGGACTCGACAGAACATACGGTGTTCTGGGCCTACGTATTCCCTCGTGCAATGGGAAAGTCAGAGTCAACGTAGTTCGACCTCCTACGTCTAAACGGGGGAAAGGTTGCTCGCCAGGACATCGCGTCCTGTGCCTACGTACTTTCATCTGGAATGAAAGATCAGAGCAAGCGTAGTTCGGCCAACTACGGGTAAACAGGGGCTCTCACACAGCAGTGAGAAAACAGACTGGTCTCTAAGGCTCTGGAACCTACAAATACGATCTGGTCTCAAATGCGCTCGGGCAAGAGAAAAGGATAACAATTAGTCGTTAGCGGGAAAGTCTCGATCGCACAGCCGCGAGAGAACAAAGGTTAGTCATTAGTGTGCTCGCTAGGATATCGCATCCTATGCCTACATATCTTCGTCTGGAATGAAGAATCAGAGCAGCTGTAGTTCAGCTAACTACGGATCAAGCTACTCAAAAGCTCCTACAGAAAGGAAAAGGAAACCCTAGAACTATAGCTGAGAAACAGGGGAATCTACCTACTGCTACCACACCTGGTTGACCATCCTAATGTCTATCATAACAACTCCGCAGCGGGGAAGTCAGAGCTCCTAAGGGATCATGGCAACAGGACTAAACCACAAACAAGAAACTGCAACGTAAGGGAATACTGAAAATATGCATGAATGCAACAACTGAACAAACGAGGCACAGGGGCCGCAAACCACAAAGGCAAGGGAGCTCAGCTCTACCGAATACCAACAAGCAAAGCCACGCAATAACAAACAAGCAGAAGGAGGACCACCTCAACTTCTTATGCACACAAAGTCTACTTCTAAGATGCACCTATTCAGAACTATCTGGATGAACACCTAAGTCTAATGCAACACAATATCACACAAGTCAAGCAATACAAAGAGACTTAACCCTGAGCAGGGCTTCTAACACCTGCGACAACTCTCCTAATCTATTTCTAAACAGAACTCTATGCCACACCTAAGCAAAGCTCTAAGCAACAACCTAATCAAAACCTAAGCAGGAGGAATCAATCCCAGTCTCCAAGCTTCGGAATAAGCTTACCAGAGAAAGGAAGCTAAGCAGACAAGC